AGGAGAGAGAGAGAGAGAGAGAGAGAGAGAGTTTAGTATTCATCAAGGAGTCTAGGCGGTTATAAGATGTCACTCTCTTGAAAATCAACGCTGATGGGGTCCTCAGGAATTTATTTTAATAATAGGTGTGACCTATATCTTAAACCTTTTCTGAAGCAAGGTCAGTTTAGTGATATTTAAGTGCTACATGTCCATAATTTTCCCTTAAAAAAAATGTGTAATTTTGGTGTGCCTCAGGATTTTTTTTTGGCTCATTTTTGTCACCCCAAGTTTATTGAGAAACAGTGAGGCACCTAGCTACTTGTGCACGTGCTTGTCAAGATTTGCACACGTCTAAAGCATATCTTCCAAAGCATATATGTCCTCACAGTTAATGTTGTTACTAATTTAATGAAACTTTCTCTAATTTTTTTAGATACTCGTTATAAAGAGGAGCTGTTTAATGAAAGAATTTCATCCTCTTTCAAATATTATGCTTGCCACAATTGTTTGTCTCCAAATTCTAAAGATAGATTCTTTATATTCTATTAAATAAAAAAGCAAATATTTTGAAAATATATCCCCAAAATAGTTTTTTATTTTTTTACAATAATAACAAGATTTTAATTATATTAAGAACGAACTACATCAATTCAATTGTTACAAAGCATATAACTAGAAGAATAAAAAAACTCATACAATTCTACAGTATCCTACTAAACCATGTAAAAGACTGAACAAAATTCACTACCACGCACCTAAACACTTGAAAAAATACAATACAGCACCCAAAAACCCACAAGAAAACATTTTTGTCAAAACAATATTTCAACGAATCACTGATCCTTGTGCAGCAACTTGTTTATCAGACAAATGGTTTAAAAAATAAAGAGTTAATTTCATCTCTTGAAGGCCCAAATATGAATATCTACCAAATGGGAAACCTCCATTTCGTTTAATTTTGGTACAAAGAGGTCACAATTACTTACAAACATCCGATGTGAATTCTAATAGTTTGGGTATGTCACAAAGTTCAAGAAAATTTCTTTCGAACTTTGAGCTTGGTCAATGAATAAATGTCGTCACCTAATTTCACATCCAATGGTCAAGATTAATTGTGACTACCTTGTACCAAAGGTAAATGTTCTCGTTATATACTTTGCCATTAAATATTTAGGGTAATATGAATGTCCCTAATATGATTTTTTTCATTTGAAGACGTGAATGAAACTCTTATATGAAATCACTTAAAAAATAAAACTCTATGCATGGAACTTATATTACCTCTCGTGCTTAGTTTTCTAACAATACTAAAAAACTTGGATGTCGTTTTAATCATTATCATCATCATCATCTTTATAGCCTTTTTTTCCAAGTATTTGTGGTCGGCTATGGATGCTACTTTAATCATAAAGAAAAACAAAGTTCCCACATGTGTTGGGTGGTAATAGAGAAATAACAAGTGATAATAACTTTTGGGAAATGTTTCTATGCGTCCTCTACAGCATAGAAGTTCTATCCTCCCTCTACCATCCGGCCGTCCAATTTTGATCAAGAGAGCCAGTCACCGTTTGATCATAGATCCGACATCTCAAAGTATTTTATATTAAGTTTTTTTTTATACATATTATATGAATATGAAATTTGGTACATGCGATCTTCGCATTGGGGCGCACCTATAAAAATATTAAAAATAATTTTTCAATAAAATATAATGACCAAAATATCCCTTGAAATTTTCAAGGGTATTTTGGTTATTTTATTTTATTGAAAATATTTTTTTATATTTTTCACTAGTGCGAGTTTAATAGAGATATGAATGTCCAAAATTTGGTGTCAAAATAGTTCATAGAAAAAAAATTAAAAATAAAATAGTGTAGAGACGTGACATTGTGATTGGGGCAATCTTAACCTTCCATTCAAAATGGATGGTTGGATAATGGGGAGGAGGATAGAACTTCTATGCTGTGGGGAAAGCATAGAAAGCTTGCCCATAACTTATAGTTAACACAATCAACCTTTAGAGCAATGTCGTTAGATTCGCTTCGGAGTCTTCTCATTCGGTGAGAAAAATGAAGCAATTCGGTGCTTCAATCAATTCGGGGGAAGATTTCATACTTTTTTTAAAAAATTAATATAAATAAATTAAAATTTTATATATAAAATATATAAAAAATGAAAAAAATAAAATTAAAATTAAAAATTTCAAAAAAAAAAAAGTTTTATAGAGATATTTCTTTGCTTCAGCCGAATCGGCCCGAAACAAACCTAAACCTAACTGAAGCAAACCAAATCTGACCGATAGCACCAAGCTTCATTTAACTTCAATCTAAGCCTAAAATGTGAAGGCTTTGGCCTCTGCGGCGAAAGCGAAGCGAATTTGACAATACCGCTTTAGTGTATGTGTTTATAACAATACAAAGGTGACCTTAAAATATCAAAATAGCAAGTAACCAAATTGGAAAGCTGAAATAACGGCCATGTGCGACTATCATGGCCACCTTTTGTGAAGTACAAAATAAACCCCATGAATCCTTCCAGGACTAAATGCTATAGGATTGTGGTTAGCATAAAATACATAAATGAAAGCTTCATTCCTTTCCCTCATCATAACCAACAATTGGAGTAGAAAAACATTTCAAAAATCGCAAAAAATTCAAAAACCAAAAAAAAAATCAAAATTGTAAGCTTTAGTGACGCCAAAAATGCTCCAAATTTAACGAGGTGGCGAAATGGTTTATCCTTATTTCCTTCATTAACATTTGACATATTATGTGATAGTATCGATGGTAAATTTATTAAAAATGGGGTTTTCGTATATTAGCCAACACACTTGTTCAAATACAATCTCCTTCAAAAATCTATTTTAGGGAGGGATTTTGTACTTAAAATGTCACAAGTCGATCACGCGATCGGCATGACATATATCTCAAAATAAATTTCTGAACCTTAATAATATATTATTTTTAAGGGAAAGTATGTGATGAGATTATTTATCTTTTGTAGAAAGTAGTCACAATTAATCTTGACCTTTGGATGTAAAATTGGGTGGTTGCATTTATTTCATTGACCAAACTCAAAGTTCAAAAGAATTTTTTTTGAACTTTATAATGCAACCAAACTATCAGATTTCATATCGGATGGTTGTAAGTAATTATGACCTCCTTTTACTAAAGAGAAATACTCTCATTGTATGCAATCCCTTATTTTAAACCATACTTCTAGACCTATCCTCACAATTTATTTTTAATTTTTTAAAGCTCATCAAATCTGCAGTATTTTGTGAGCGACAAAATCATGGATCTAAAGCAAAAATGCATTTTGATTGACTTAAAATGTGATTCGAATCTTGATGGGTTTTGAAAAGGACATATAACTTAATTTCAACATTTCCCACTTATTTAAATACCAATGATAAACGATAAATATATCCACAGCAATTGGGCATTTTTCGTGCATATATTTATGTTGCCTTTGACATTTGTGAAGATAAAGGATCTATTCCTGTCACTCTCATATCTTTTTGAGAAAGCACGAATATATCCAACTCACTCATAATAAACAAAAAGAGGAAATTTATGCCAATATATATTTAAAAAAAATAAAAATCACCCTTTGTAATTTCCTTGCTTTATGAATTTTTTATTTTTTCAATTTGATATTGGTTTGGACTTTCAAAATCCAAACAAAAACCATGAACAAATTGGTTTGGAAATTAAATTCTAATATGGTTTCTTGTGAACCAATCGATTCGGATTTTGAAATCCCAAACTTGTTTATTTGAGTTTTGGGAGAAGGGATCAAGTTAAGCAGGTGATGAGTGGGGTTTGGATTTTGAAATTGCAAGCCCAACACTCAAATAAACCGGTTCATAATTTCAAAATCCAAACCGGTTGATTTAAAAAAAATTGGTTCAGAATTTTAATTTTTGAACTATTTTATCAATAGTTCCGGTTCAGATTTTGATATTTCACACCGATGGCATTATGGAAAACAAATAAAAGAGTAGAGATATAAGCGTAAATTAGGGATATATTTTTAATGGGTGTGGTTTCTATAAGGTTGCAACTTTAAACAATCCAATTAAGACGCAGCTCCCAATTTTATCGTAACATGTAATTTTGATGTAAAAAATTATTAAGATTATTTGAAAATCTATTTTCATATCTAATATAAAATTTTAAACTCCAAAAATTGTTAAAATCAAGTAGATCTATAAACATATGAAAATCTTTAAAATGGACGGTCTAGATAATGTGTTGCAAGATATACAATTTTTGGGACTCAAATTTTTTTATTTATTTTTTCTCATTTTCATATATCTCAATGTCGAGATGATCAATTAAAGGGTTTTTCAACATTAAAAAAAAAAATTTCAATGGATTTTTGAAGTGCATCTTTATTTCTACATCTTAAGATTGCAATCTTATATAAACTTTTATCCATTTTTAATTCCAAAAAAATGAAGGATATCAGCATAAATCTTCCCCTCAAAAATAGAATAAGAAACGGGAGGTTTAGGAATTTGGAAGAAGTTTGATCTTGGCATTAGGGGTGGCAATGGGTCAGGTCCGGACGGACCCGGACCCGGATCCGGCCGGGACCACGACCCGACCCGACCCGGAAGGTCCCTTTTTGACACCCAGATGCCCGGACCCGGATCGGGTCTACCGGTGGTCCCGGTGCATTGCCATCCCGCGTCGCATTTTTTGAATTTTTAAGAAGATGAAGGTTATTATGGTCATATGGATTAACGACTAGGACCTTTTTAGTTAAATAACGAGGGCATGCTTTGCTGTCTAAAACGCCCCAAAGTCATTGAGCAGAAATACCTTTGATTGATTATTTGGAGCTTCTTTTTACCAAATCGTTTCCTCCTATCCAATTTCCACCGCGGACGTCCTTGAATTCTTCTTCATTTCCTGGTATTTTCTCTGAAAATCCCGTTTATCTGAGATTTTTCTTGAGAAATCCTTTCTTTTGATTGTTAAAATGACATTTTTTTAATGAACTTTTGGCGGTGAACTGTATAAATCTATTAATATGATCCATGGCGCGAAGATACCGTAGCTTTTGCTTAATTTTGATCCTGAGCTGGAAGTTTTATGTTGAATTTAGGTCTGGTGATGTTTAAGAACTCCAAACCCTTGTGTTTGTTTCATTTTGTAATTAAAAAATGGTGGTTTCGTGATTGGTTTTTCATCGTGGAACTTTAGAAAGCTCATCAGATAGTATCTGAGCTATCGCGAAGCGTAAAATCTTTTATTCAGATGTCTATAATTTCTGTGATATTATCAGAGGCTAATGAAAAGCTTCTCTTTTTCTGTTATGGTTGTTTTCTTATAAAATATTCATGTAAAACGATTAGAAGCTAGGATATTTTATTTTCGTTTTCTTACATAACGTTCTATGGATCATTTAGATTTTTAGACCATAAAAGGTGTCCATTTCGACTGTAAATGAATTTCTTTTTTATTGGGACAGTAATATATCCGTGTGGACATCCCAGCATCCAAGTCACCAAGGCTTTCGATCTTGATTCCATATGCATATAAATTTGAGGCTACATATGGTTTGGAAAAGATTCATTTGACTGCAAAAATGGGATTTTCTGTGAAATTGCAGAGTAGAAGCTGGATTTTTCGGTTTCGCGTTACTAGGGATCCAAAAAGTTTCATCTTTATTTTATTTGTCCTTTAATTTTTGGTCTAGGGATGAAAAGTTTTCATTTAATGTGTTTTTGATAGAATCGCCGCATAAAATTGGATGAGTTCCATCAGAAAGTACAGATTACCCTACCAGTAGGTTTAGCTTTTTGAATATCATCTGTGGTTTAAGGTTCCTCTGCTTAGGAAACTTGGTGTAGTGGTTGTTTTAGGGTTTTAGGTCGTTAGTATATGAAGAACACATTTTTAGGATTTTTTGGGCTTATAACAAGGGGCATATAGACTACTTAAAAAAAATATTAGTTTTGTGCAATAGGAATGGTTTGCAGGTTTCGCTCATGATTCTATGAAGTGATTATGCTTTTTAGGGTTATGCTTCCTTGGGAATCAAAACTTGTCGTGTTAATTAAGATATTGAAATGGATATTTGCTTGATTCATGAGATAATATTTTATGGTTTTTGAGCTTTTAATTTTCAGGATGTTGTAATAAATATGATGTTCCATATATATATGTGTGTGTGTGTGTGTGTGTGTGTGGATGTTTTTGTTTTTGTTTTTGTTTTTGTCTTATTGTTTTTGGTTTTGTTTTTGTCTTACTTATTAGATTTTTAGTACTTCGCTAATCCATTTATTGTTTCATACTTCTCAAATGAGATTTTCTTTGTCAGGGTTACCTAAGCTTCTTCATATTGAAACTTATGCTGTTTCCTGCCATATTATGCAATATATTCCAGGTTGACGATTAAATATCCATCACTCCATGGAAGACACCTCCTCCTATGAGGTTTTGGTTTGATACACCTATTGATATAGTGGAGAGAGCTATGGCAGAGGTCATCGACAGGAAGACGTATCAAGAAGTACTCAAAGATATGCTCCCGTCTGGTTCTTCACTCCCTGAAACACTAAACCCTGATTATTCCATTGCCATTGAGTACAAAGGACCACCAGTGTCATATGAGGTCCCCAAAATTGATCCCATAAAAGTACAGCCCTTGAGAATAGCTGCTGCTGCCTTGGCTGAACCTTTATCGAATGCAACCCTTGTGAGCTCTTCTGCTCTTCCCATTGTAGAACCAATTCACTTACCGTGTTCAAATATTGCTGTAACCATTGGTCCCCTTGGTCAAACCTCTGAATCAGTCATAGAGAACAATTTTCATCATGTATCAGGCGAACTCACTAGTTCTAAAGATTTGGATTCACCTCATTCTGTAGGTTCACTGAGCCATAGGGATATGGGTTCATCTCATTTTGTGGGTTCATTGAGCTGTAGGGGTTTGGCTTCATCTCATTCTGAGATTTCACTGAGTCATAGGGATTTGGGTTCACCTCACTTTGTGGGTTCGCTTAACCATTCTCGGGACATGGCGGTGGTCACTAGATCTTCTGAAAGTCCAAACTCTCTATCCAACTCATGTTCACCGTCGCCTGACCATACCCAAAGTCCCCCAACTCACCCATCTATGCCCACCATGAACGAAGTTAAGAAAAACCCAATTGTCACGTTCGATACTATTAATGCATCTGGAAGGAAAGATGCTCCTTCTCATCTGAATTTTAGAGAGAAGCAATTTGTACAGTGTATTCAGCTTGGGACTTTAGAGAAGGAGAGGAAGAAAGGGGTATGTAGTAGGTGTGGAAGAAAGAGCAGGCTTAAAGAGAGAGAGCCTTGCTTGGTTTGTGATGCAAGATATTGTTGCAATTGTGTGCTTCGGGCAATGGGTTCTATGCCTGAAGGAAGAAAATGTGTGACTTGCATTGGGTTGCCTATTGACGAGTCTAAGAGAATGGTATTGGGAAAATGCTCAAGGATGCTTTGTCGCCTTCTCAACCCCTTGGAGGTGAGGCAAATCATGAAGGCTGAGAAAGAATGCCCTGCAAATCAGCTTCGACCTGAGCAACTTATTGTGAATGGGAGGGTACTGAGGCAGGAAGAACTCAGCGAATTACTTGGGTGCGCAAGGCCTCCAAGGAAGTTGAAGCCTGGGAGGTATTGGTATGACAAGGAATCAGGGCTTTGGGGAAAGGTAAAGATCTCTTAATTTAAGAAAAATTGCTACCTCCTTCCTTAATTTGAAATGTCTGATATCTGCAATTAAAGATGAACATTTGTTTACTCGTAGTTAATTTTATTAGTGGTTTTAAATCTTTGTTTGAGGAATTCTCTCTCTTATTTGTTTTGAGAATGAGCTAGAACCCCGCCTTCGTCAATCCAGGTCATATGGAACAGGAAAACAGTTAAAATGGAGATTGAAAAAAAAAACAGGAAAATGTTTAAAACAGACATCATATGTGCCCAGAACAAGAAATGAGTGCGACGAACAAAAAATAAGGTGGTTGAACACTGCCTAGTAAAATGATAAAAAAGTGGCAACTTGCTCGGAAAGTACTGCATCCCCATAGGCAAGTAGGTCAGGCTATATAATCATCTTAAAATTTACTATGCGAAGTTATACCGGTTCCAGCGATACTTTCATATTGTTCAGATGTTCTGGTCATTTTGCTGCCAATCTTGTTACAAATAAGTGTTGTCCAGTGTCCACTCACTATTTTCATTTATGTTCTTTGATACTGACTCTAGGAATTGGGTGTTGTGTCTATCTGCACATTTTTCTTTGACCCTACTTATGCCTCTTCCTAATTTGTATAGGAGGGAGAAAAACCAGAAAGAATCATTAGTTCCAATCTGCATATAGGAGGGAAGCTTCTTCCTAATGCAAGCAAAGGGAATACAGAGGTTTACATCAATAATCGGGAAATTACAAAGATTGAATTGAGGATGTTGAAGGTAACCACATGATTCTCATGAAGCTGTACCTCTACGGGCTTTTATCCCAATTTTTTCACTGATTCCTATTATTGTCTACTGCTTGTTTTTTGCTATGTGGCATTTTCGTGAAAATATTTTGTATAGGTAACCGTTGCATTCTTTTGATTTGGTCATTGCTTAAAGCTCCCTATATCACTTGTTTTTCCCCAAAGTTTCTGGGAGTTGATATCACAGACTATATTTCATAATTGTTGTTATTTGTTGTTAGAAGTATATCGTTGTAAAAGAATGTGGATGTACTTGAACAGTTTGGCCATTAAAATCCATAAATATCTTGATTTGATAGGATTTCTCTTCATAAAATGTTCATGTCAAGTTTTGATCTTTAATGTCTCCTCTGGTGTCATGGAAATTCTCTCTATTACAATGCTTTCTGTAGTTACATGTCATACGAATTTTGTTTAACATATTAAGTTTTGATATTTGGTGAATACTTTGGATTATATTGTAGTGAAGATTCTCTTGATCATTGCTTTCTTATAGTACTTGCAGATAAGAAATTTCTGAGAAATTCTAAGTGAATTATATTCTTTCCTTTGAAACTACTGTTAGTTATCTCTTTTTTATGATCATGGGTGTGGAGGCCATAATGCTGTGCTGCTTGTGCCTTAAATGCTAAGCCAAAAGGCCAAATGTGTATGGTTGGTTTCCTCTATGTTGGATGCCTTATAGAAATTCCATTTGGACATAGTAGTTTTTTCTATGTTCTCACTCTTCATACTTCATTAATTGTATTTACCTTAACATCATAGAACATGAACTACATGGATTTTCTATGATTGGTGGGCAATTGCCTGCTACTTTATCCGTTTCATTATTATCATTTGAAGACTTTTATGCGATTATTATTATAATTTTCAGTTGGCAAAGGTGCAATGTCCACGCGACACTCATTTTTGGGTCTATGAAGATGGACGCTATGAGGAGGAAGGCCAAAATAACATAAAAGGGAACATATGGGGAAAGGTACTCTCCGCGGCTAAAATTTGCATTAAGTTACCAAACCCGACAAACCTTTCGATGTTTTTCTGTTATCTTTTCCTTGTAGACTTTTAAAAAGAATTGGTGTAAAAAGTTTTGTCCGTGGTCCTTGCTAGTCAGGCAACAACCCGGCTGGTCTGTTCTTTATTCTCATTGCCTGTACCACCTGGAAACTGTCACGGGTCAAAGGACGACACTGCTAATAATTCTGGTGGAACTGTTCCAGAGTATTTAGAGCAGAAAAGAATTCAGAAGCTTTTACTCATAGGCCTCCAAGGCTCTGGAAGCAGCACTATTTTCAAGCAGGTACTGGCTAGAGTTTTCTTCTTACAGTTCATTCTGCTGGTTTATATGATTCTGTAATTGGATGAAAAATATGTTCTCGTGATTTTGCTTAGATGGAATGTATTCTCTTCTTTTTGGTAAATTATGAAAGGTTTGCTCAGTACTCTTTCTTTTTTTTCGGGGGAAGTCATTGCTTATTTGGCTGCATTCCATCTTTGGTATCATAGGATAGCATCACGCTGCTATATTTTACCAGCTAAAGAAGGCGTGTATCCAATTTCTTACAATTGAATTTGTTTGTTTACTTCTTGATTTCTTGATAATGTCAAAGCTTTTGATTGTCTATCAGCTCTTATGTGAGATCCAATTATCTATGTTATTTGTAGGTACTAGAAAACAAGTGCTATGAGTGTGTGTAGCCTCTGCTTGTACCTTGCAATCTGTTTTTATTTTTCTCTTTACTCCAATTGATCATTTCTTGCAGTTGCGTACTTCCATTGTTAGGGATGACGGTCTATCTGCATGGGTTCTGATTTATGGGTTTGGTAGCCAATTTGCTTGTTTTGTATCTTAAAGTTAGTCGTGTCTGGATTTGCAAAACTTCACATGGGGCATGTGTCAAAAACAACAAATTATTTCAAACTTTCTTGCTTTGGTGGAATATCTTGGGATTTTGTTTTTCCGAAGTTTTGTTGTTGCCATAAACCATAGTATTTTACTGAGTTTCCATTGTCCAAGTTGTTATAATTTCTTTACTTCTCTTCTATACGATGTCCTCTATCCTTCTATTTAACGACACTTTTGCTGGCAATGTAACAGGCTAAGTTCTTGTATGGGGACAGTTTTTCTGCTGATGAACTGCAGAATATCAAGTTAATGATTCAAAGCAATCTATACAAATACCTGAGCATTTTACTTGATGGTCGAGAGCGTTTTGAAGAGGAGGCTCTGTCTATGATGAAAACACATGGTCCTGATGAAACAGTCTCAGAATCAGGTAACTGGTCTGAGGAACCTGGTTTTGGTGCTTTGTCCAAAATAGTCAATGTGGGTTGGTTCCTGCTGAATATTTTTTAAAATGTATTTTCTGTAGCAAAGCAATACAAAGACGACTATTATGGTCACATCTACATATAAAGATATATTAAAAATTATGTCATTTATCGATGGTTCATTTGGTTTGTCTTCTTTATATTCCTCTTTAGGACCTTCACTTTTGACTGACAATATCTTTGCTTACATAGCCTCACCATTCTTTTTCATCCTGAATCTCGATATCATACATGGAATCGTTAAATTTGAGGTTCTGTTGCTAAGGCATATTGATAAGTTAAAGACTTTAAATGTCTCAAGCAGTTGGTTCTGGAAACCAAGCGGGGGAACTTGAATATAATTCAAGGCAATGTGCCTACTCCATCAACCCAAGGCTAAAGAGTTTCTCTGACTGGCTTCTTGAGATTATTGCCATGGGAGAGATTGATGCTTTTTTTCCCGCTGCAACACGAGAGTATGCTCCCCTTGTAGAGGAGGTTTGGAAAGATGCTGCTATCCAAGAAACCTTCAAGAGAAGGGATGAGCTTCATTTCTTGCCTGATGTAGCCAACTATTTCTTAGAAAAGGTACCTCAGCGCTCGCCCCCCGCCTCTCTCTCTCTCTCTTTCTCTCTCTCTCTCCTGATTTCATACTTTCATACCAGACATATTGCGTGCTTTCTTTTTTTCATCCTCCTCCTCTCCCGATTTCCATACCAGTGGTATTACATGTTTCCTTTTTTTCATCCAATATTATGTCAATAATACCTTTGCCATTCATGGGAGGATTGATTGGCTTGAATTAATGTAACCTACTGAGCTGCCTATTCTAAATACCTTTCAAAGGAAACTGGTCTGCATTACCCTTCATAGAAGTTTGACTGTTCATTGGTGATATAAGATGAAATTATTCTGATATGTTCAGTATTAATTTCTCTGATAACAATCACAGGCTGTGGAGGTATCAAGCAATGACTATGGACCATCTGAAAGGGATATCCTGTATGCCGAAGGAGTCACCCTAGGAAATGGGCTCACGTTCATTGACTTTGCTCTCGAGGACCGCAGTCCCATGTCAGAGCCCTTCAATGAGAACTCTGAATCTTCACCTCCCCCAAAGTAAGCCCCTCTCTTTCCTCTCAGTTCTTACATTATTCTTTCCATTTGTGTACTTATACACCATAAAAAGCACGCAACACATGTTTCTATCTAACATTAATACCAAATTGTTTGCAAGCATTTTAGAAAAATTCAACAATCTCTTAAGAAACAGCTCAAGGATAGAAAAACACCATTCGTTTTGATATGCGTACTTTTCGTGGTACAAACCGGTGTCACTGAAGACGTTGAAAAAGTTTATCCCTTGACATAACTAAACCGCATCCCAAGTTGCTTTATTTAGCCACCCTCACAAACTAAAAAGAAAAAAGAAAAGGCAAAGGACTACTTGGGAAGAAAAGTAAAACACTTTTGAGGTATTTATATGTGGCATTTGTTTTCATGCAGATACCAACTGATAAGGATGGGCGCCAAGGGCCTGAGCGAGGGGTGCAAATGGGTGTCCATGTTTGAGGACGTGCGGGCCCTCCTCTTCTGCGTGGCCCTAAGTGACTATGACCAATTGTGGGCTCCCGATGGGCCCTCTGGCCCACTCAAGAACAAAATGCTCCACGCTAAGGAGCTCCTCACTACCCTTGCTAGCCACCCGTGCTTCACCAGCACCCCCTTCGTCTTAATCCTGAACAAATATGACTCTTTCGAAGAGAAGGTCAGCAGTGTCCCACTTTCTACATGCCCTTGGTTCAACGACTTTAGCCCAGTGCGAACCCACCATACAAACCAATCACTGGCTCACCAAGCCTACTACTATGTAGCCATGAAGTTTAAGGACTTGTATGCTTCCATTACTGGGAGGAAGCTGTTTGTATGGCAGGCTAAGGCTAGAGAGAGGGCCAATGTGGCCGAGGGGTTTAGGTATGTGAGGGAGGTGCTGAGGTGGGAAGAGGAGAGAGAGGGGAACTGCTATGGTGGGGGGCTCGGGGATGACTCATTTTATAGCACGGATACTAGTTCTTCACCATTTGTTAGGCAAGAGTGAGAAAATGTCACTATTTATTCTAGGCAGTCAATATTCTTGTAGTGGAGTTGTATCTCCTCTAGATGTCCTCCTGCCCATTAGCTCAACTGGTAGGTCTCAGAAACTCTCTCTCTCTCTCTCTACAGAGGTGAGAAATCCTACACTCAACCTTGATCTGGCAGGTCTATGTTATTTGGGTCGAGTTCTCCATTGACTCCTCTTGATGGTCAATGAATCTGGGCCGTTCTCTAAGAGGGAAATTCTGTACTGTATCTGTAATTTTGTACAACATTGAGATCGAAGGATTACAGTCGCAAGAGTTGAGAGTTTATTGTTCTCATCTAAAGTAGAACTAAGTTCGTCACATTAGAAAGGGAAAATCCACCGTTATGCAGGATGAGAAGGGTGTACACAAGCTTTCCTCTCCCAAGGTAAAATATAAAAAATAATTTTGACAAAATTAAATGACCATACTACTTTTGAAACCTTGGTCATCTTATTTTATCACAGGTGCAGCACTGTGAGAGGATAGTAACCCCAAATTGGGTGTCAATGTAATTGTAAAACAAAAAATTAAAAATAAAATTGTATTTGGGCATGATGGCTAGAAGGTTGGCATATATATCACTTGCATAACGAGAGCTTTCCAGAACGATGACAGTTGAAATGACATTCATATAGATTTGGATCGGTTAAGATGACATAGTTGAGATGACATATATATGCTTATGGATCTGACACAGCATGATTCATGTGACTCACCATATCCCAATATCGCAAAGTTGCAAGGGGTATAATTGGCTCTAGTATCTCACAAAAGGGTGTGGTTTGTATAAGGCTGGGACTCTAACCAATCAAAGTAAGCAAAACTTCAGTAGTGCATAAACATGTTATTTCAGTATCAGAATTCTTTGTGAGAGCTTCAAATTTTATTTTTATCTCTAATTTATAAATAGAAGTATTTAAAAGTATAAATCGAACAAATCTATGAACACTTGAAAATCCAGAAAATTGACGGTTACAAAATACAATATTTGCAAGCTTGAAATCTATTTTTTCTCATGTCCATACAGCTTGAGATTGAAATGATCAAATTGAGGGTTTTTCAACATCAAAACCACCTTTTCTAGAAAATTTTTGAGGTGCACCTTGATTTAATTGTTTTTCACCTCACCCTTGTATAAACCTTTTCCCTCGCAAAAATATACCGGTCCATTATTTCTCCTCTAAAATACATTAGAGGAATAACATTGTTGGGAGAGAGAGAGAGAGAGAGAAAACAATGGGCTGTAGGCAGATATCTCACTTGGTCGCAATTTGACATGAGAGAGATTTCCAACCGTGAGGGAGTTTCCCCATCCTAAGCTATTGTCCAAGTAAATTGACCAGCTTATGGAACAACATAGGCTAGATGACCCATGTTGAGGGATAGGAAGTGATCTGGATGGTCCATATTCACCAAAACGGCGATATATTTTTGCCTGCATTTTTAAGCTCATCTATTTTTGCCTACATTTAAACCACATAGATGAGGAATAACGTGTCCAAAATTTAGATATGTTTTTAGAAAAGTCCCAAATTTGTGATTCTATTCATTTTTGTGAGCGTCGAGTTGTCAAGCTTATACTATTTCTATTGGCTATAATTCTATCGGTTATAAGCTCATATGATATTTTCCAATATATAAATTTAGAAGCCAACGAATTCGAGTCAAACGACTAATATAAAGCATATCATACTTGAATCCTTCACATGCATGCAAAAGCTGATCTCTATCACGTCAAAAGTTTTGATAGTCCATAAACTCAATTAACAATTACCGCCTCTCGTTTTTTGTGATCGATGGATGGCGGAGATGAGCTTTCTCATTGATATCAAGGAAGCTTCATATGCACTAAGCTCTCATTTTAATAATGGGTTTTGTTCCACTACACCGTTTGTGATGCATAACCTTAAAACCCTCTACACTATGATGTATACCCTTAAAGCCCTCAACATTTTTTGACACTATGATACCCTTAAACTATATAGTAACTTTTTGTCTAAAAATATTTTAGTCAAAGATAAAATGGAAATTCTTAATAAAAACAAAAGCATTTACAAAAAATAGTAGATAATAACATCACCAACCTGATTTGATACATAAACTACTATAAAATGCTGCTATTTATTAATAAAAATATCCATTATACCTCTCTAAATGACCAAAACTGCCACTCATCTAAAAAAGAACTTGTATTACAAAACAAAGATATCCAAATGTTCAAAAATGTTGAGTACTTTAAAAGTATAAGCGTAACAAAACCCTTTAATTGGTTTACGGTTCTCCAAAGACAGAACAATTTTTCATCTTAAAATTCCCAAGTAGTAGATCAGAAGTGGGCAGTTTGCCAGAATCTCCCTCTGGGGCCCTTAGTTTTCCAAAATTCCCAAGTAGTAGATCAGAAAAAACGCTAAGCATTCCCTATAAACATAATATGTGACAGTTTACGGTTCTCCAGAGAGAGACATTTTTCATCTTAAAATTCCCAAGTAGTAGATCAGAAGTGGGCAGTTTGCCGGAATCTCCCTCTGGTGCCCCTAGTTTTCTCACTTTTTCCCATCCACTTGTTCCAGTTTGTCTCTCCACACAACCCGATATATCCATTACTCCAGCAACCAATATCAGCTATCAATCAGGAAAAAAATGGAGAGCGAGAGATCATTTAACATTCTCTAAGTTGAAAACCCAAAAGGAAAGAACAGCCGTTCGTTAACGCCTGCCACTCATCAGGTCTGCTAAGCATCCGCCTTAACAGTCTAGCACATATAAAAGTTCACGAATAAAAAAATACAGCCCTCACACGCATAGTGAACAAGGGACACAAGCTGCCCCCATCACAAAAATGGTAAAGCATGCAAAAACAGGTGGGTGAGGGGGGGAAAAAAACAAAGAGAGCGTATTCACTCTTTAAATTGTAAGCATATCTCTTTTCTTCTCTCTTTGTAAAAGGCCTAGGACCTTAACTGTTATAAAGAAAACCTCGTAATATTCTATGAAGCAACTAGATCAGGGGTCTCTGCCTCCACTGATAAGAGGGCGGTATGAACCTTATCCAACCAGCTATCGAGCCGGTCACGCAATGACTTAATTTGTGGTATGCCCAAAACTCTTGGTTGCACCCAAGAAACATGCACTGTACCTTCAACTTGGTCGATTATTCCCTCAATAAGATGAACCTGCAGCCAAAATAAGAAAAAAATATCCCAATTACTTTTCTGATAAAACACCCAAGTAAATTAAGCTATCTTCAGTAATTTTTCTGTAATAGTTTTGACACTTATATACATATTCTTTTGTAATTGATGTTAATCAGTTGCCCAATTTCCAAACGGTAGTGACAATAAAGCTGCAGGAATTCCAATCAGCAATTGGATCACATGTGGACCCTGAAATCTAGTGAGTAAAGGCTATGGATCACATGCACACCCTGAAATCAATGACAGTAGGCCTATATGAGGGATTGGTGTTGAGCCCATATCTCTGCCCGCTTTGGTTACAAACAAGTTATTAAGCATCTACAAGATGAGGTCCTCCTGCAGGGCATTGTTTGCGAATGACATAACTTCGATTGATGAGACTAGAGAGATGGCATCAACTCAAAGTTAGAACTTTGGATGGATGCTATAGAATCCTAAGGTTTTAAAACTAGACGTACTCAAAAAATACAGAATGCAAATCTAGTAAATAATATAAATAGAAATGAGGAATTACTTAAGATTGATGAAAAGATATCACTTTCGATATCTTAGGTCAATAATCCATGAAAAAAGAGATATTAAAGAAGATGTTGCGCATAGAATTAGAGTTGGGTGGCCAAATTAGAGTTGTGCTTCTTGAGTCTTATGTTGTCGTTGCATAACAATGAAATTAAAAGGGAAGTCCTAGATGGCGGCTGTAACGCCATACTTTAAGGGATAAAATGTTGGACAATCAAGAAACGATGTATCCACAATCTGAGTGTAGCTGAGATGGGAATGTTGAGATGGAGAAATTGCAAGACAAGAAAGGATAGAACTCAGAATGAAAACATCTGAGGGAACTCAAGGGTAGTTCTAATAGGCTAGAAGATAAGGGAAAGTAGACTTAGGTCGTCTAGGCATATGAAGCAGCGACCTCAAACAACACTGATTTCGTTTTAAGTGGAAGGCTCTAAGAGGGCAAAGGAGAAGTAGAAAAAATATCGATGGAAGTAGTGAGAAGACATATAGTAACTTATGATCTGAATGATGGCATGGCCCTTAGGGTGGAACGGTGAAACAAGATTCGTGTAGCCGACCTCAAATAGTTAATGCTCGAACAATGATGATGATGAAAGTGTATGGACTGCATCATTGCTAGCATGCCTTTAAACCAAATTACTAGATTTGGCTATTGGATCTCCATCTAGAAACAATAGTACATAAAATCTTTAGGACCTTTGAATCAAAACAGCCAAAAAAGTTGCTTTTGCAGTTAACAAGTAGGTCTCCCCCTAGCGACTCATGGAAGATTTACTTATTAGCAAGCTGAGATGAATCAGGTAGGTCGCATGAAAGCTCCCCAATTCATGCAAAACTATGAAAAGTGATAAGAGGAACTTTGGTAAATGCCGTACCTTTCCCATATTCAGGAGCACCTACTGCTCAAGGCAGTCTTAATACTTATATCATATACGAAAAGAATCAGGACAGAGGCAAAATATTGCGTCAGAAAAAATTAACCAATTCTAAGTTTCAAACTTTACTGAGCTTTTTGCAGCAAGAGATGAGATAGAAAGTAATTCCAGTATGAAAGATATCTTACAAAGAATACTAGAGACCATCTTTCTCATCAAAAACAAAAATATGAACCACAAGTAACAAAATGTCGAACCAAATTTAGAAGGGAAAATGAGACTACTGTAATAAAAGAAAGCTCAAGCTATAATAACTACCAGCACCATCACAAAACTTCAAAATGCTAGCATATAAAGAATGAAAAATATTCACATTGCTGGATCCTTCAGTAACGATAGCAAAACATAGAGGTCAGCAAAAATGCATGGGCGACATTATCACCTTGGACTTAATGCATCAGCATTTGAAAAACTTTAAAGAAAACCTATATAAAGCGATATTAACAAAATACATGGTAAGAATGCCTACAGCTTGCAAAGTTGAGAACATTCTAATGCAAACTTACAGAGAGGCTTTTCATAAGAAGATACTCCACATCTTCTATGGAAAGTTTTGTGCGTTCTGCAATGACATTTAGTGGAATCGTTCGGTCTTCCGACGGGCGACTTGGACAAAACAGGATAAAGGCATGTTTCAGTAACAATCAATATAAAAATGCAATATCACAACTACTCAATTGAACTTTTTTTGGGTAAGTGAAAGTGGTAAGTCAGTGGGGATTTGAGCCCCTACCCTTTGGTGAGAATGGAGTCGGAGACCTCACCATGGGGCTCGGCAATACTACCGCCAAGGCCCCAGGCAATTCCCAATAGAACTTGGCGAGTAAAGACCTTCAAACCATAACAGTGATTACCTGAAAATGATTTCCATCAGGCAAAGGATATTGATCTTTTCTAATAATTTCTTCTCGTTTTCCACTAATGCAGGTTGCTCAATGAGACGATCTCTATGGACACTGCAAAGTACTTGATAGAGGACCAAATCACCAGAATTAAATGCCTGCAATATTTCATAAATCCACAACACATTCTTCTCGCTCCTCATCTGCACAAATCAGACAAAGGAAGTTATAACATGGAAATCACTATCCAATGGTAAAAGAGGAATATTGAGGGAAATATGCATCAGTCGCATGACACTAGAATCATATTACCCAGTACCATTTAACGAAGGCAGAATCAATCTGTTTGTCTGGCAAAGCTTAGTAAGAAATATTGACAGACGCTAGACCATGTTTATCTTATCAACCCCACCAAAGAGAGAAAATGCAGCTAATGGGACTGCCCATTTCAGTTGCTCTAAAACGGTGTTGGAACGAGGTCTTAGTGGGTTTGTTTGACCACAATTTTTGTAGATTGCCTCAGCATCACCAGATGGTAACTCATCTAACCAATGATACCTGTGATATTATCCTAGTAAAATGAAATTACTGCGATTGTAGGGTTTCAATATAATCACAGAAAAAAAATTTATTAGATAATATTGGGATTCAATCTTGTCATCAGAATATTGGATGTGAAGAGATCTTACTTAGAACATGGTTATCATATCAAGTAAAGTACATGCCTAGAAGTGACATGCCTAAATAAAAGGAATTGATAAAGGCATGTACAATTTTCATAACACGGGGCATTGTATTCATTGTAGGTTTGGTTGTGAGATTCTAGTTAATATCTATTTAACAAATAAGATTCCGGTGGATCTTTTAATTTTATTTAATTGAACTTACATAATACGGATTGAATGCTCAACTAATTCCAAAACTCACATTAATTCTGATCCGGGATATAAGATAAGCATTCTTTTTGGAAAATCCCAAAACCACCTTTCTTTTTTGAAAAGTTAAAAAATTCTAGCTTTTGGATTAGTGGTATCTGATAAAATTCTCAGAATGAGCCATTTACAAATCCAAAGTGCACTAATCATGAATAGATTGTAATGTGCATAGAGGACACTTAGACAGTACCACCTCATTTTATTCCTACATTACAAGGCTACCCGCCCAATCCGCTCCAGAGATTGCTTGAGTTGGGTCACTCCATCCTCAGTAGAAGACTTAATCAATGAGTTGTACTCTCCCACTGCAAGGAGTAATCCTCTTCACCATTCTACCAAAAGAACAGCACAGCACAGCACAGCACAGCACAGCACAGCACACATGGTAGAACGGAATAGTAGTTTGCAAATGGAACTCATTCAAACAATGTCAAGATTGTCGGCAGACTCAAAAGTCACATTACCCATTGGGCACTCACAAGAAAAGGAGTATAGTCCTCCATCACTGACCTACAACACCACTGGCATAGGCCCAAATACATTAACAAACTAAGACGCAGCAGATAGCTGCCACCAACAACGGTCTTTAAACTTATTCAACGGAAGCTTCACAGGCAACCATAGACCTGCTGGAATTGGGGGTATTATCCACGATACCACAGATGGATGCTTCTCACATACTCTCAAGCGGATATTTCTTAGCAAATGAAGCTGAAATGGGGGTGCCCCAAAACAGGATTTCAACTCTTCTAGTTAGATTTCAGAATTTTATTTGTTGAGGGTGACGTAGTAAACACTATTTTTCCATGCAAAAGATGGTAGCAGTTGAACACAGCATTTGGCAGATGAATTTGCTGAGATTTGAAGACGCTCATGATGAGAGTCAAATGAAATCGCAATTGCAAATGAAGGAATTCAAAAACATAATTGAAGTGATTCAAAATGCTTGATCAAATGCACTCTTAACCAGGTGGCACCATCAAACATCAATTTCCAAACTCATGATGTAAATTTTGTGTTTATCCTACAAAAATGCAATTTTGTAAATCAACCATACAATCAACGAAAAATGAAAAACAGTTACCATCATCATCATCATCATGAAAGCCTTTTCCCAACTAATTGAGGTCGGCTACACGAGTCATGGTTCGTCATTCTTCTCTATTAAGGGTCATACCCTAAGTGAAGCCATAAATCCTCATATTTTATGACTACTTCCAACCATGTCCTTTTGGGGCTACCCCTTGCCCTTTTTTAGCCTTCCTATTGGACTAACTCGTACCTCCTAATAGGTGTTGTACTGGGTCTGCGCCACACATGGTTAGCCCACCTAACTCTACTCTCTCTAATCTTATTGCTTATTGGTGCCACACCTAAATTTTCCTGAATGTATTCATTTCGAATTCTATCCCTTCTTGTCTTGCCACTCATCCATCTCAATATCCCATCTCCGCTACATTCATTCTACGGGTATATTGTTTTTTGATCACCCAACATTCCGCCCCATAGAGTGAAGCTAGTCTCACAGTGGTCCTATAGAACTTGCCCTTCCGCTTCATTAGTATGCGGAGATCACATAAAATTCCGGTTGCATACCTCCACTTTGCCCACTCAACTCTAATTTTATGTGCGATATCTTCCTCAATCTCTCCATCTTTCTGGATTATTGACCAATGGTATCAAAAGTGCGTTCTTTTTGGTATTTCCTGACCGCCAATCTTAACTACTTTCTCGTCTCTACTCCTACTATTACTAAAAATGCATTTCATATAATTTATCTTTCCAGCTAATTTTAGAACTTCTATATTCTAGAGCACCCCTCTCCAAAGTTCTTTGTGTTGACGTCATTCTGGATCTCATCAATTAAAACTATGTCATCTGCGAACAACATGCACCACGGTACCTCATCTTGTAGGTACCTACTTAAGTCGTACATAACTAAGACAAAGTGGTACGGGCTCAATACAAACCCCTGATGTAGACCTATTGTCACTGAAAACTCGCTCATCGCGCCACAAGTTGGTCGTACACTAGTTAGCACTCCATCGTACATATCTCTCACCCTAGTCAATGTAGTGTCTAGATACTCATTTCTTTTCCAACATCCACAAAATCAAATATCGAGGTACTTTATCATTAGCTTTCTCTATATCAATAAAGACCATGTAGAGGTCTCTTTTCTTCGCCCTAAACTTCTTAATCAGCAGCCAAAGTAGGAAAATAGTCTTAGTTGTTGACCTCCTTGGCATAAAACAAATTGGTTTCTGATACACTCGTTTCATTCCTTAGTCGTTGCTCAATCACTCTCTCCCAGAGCTTCATAGTGTGGCTCCTAAGTTTGATCCCTCGATAGTTCACACAATTTTGTACATCTCCTTTGTTCTTGTAAATAGGTAGCACCGTACGTTTCCTCCATTCATCTAGCATTTCTTTATTCTCAACACCTTATTGAGCAGCTTGGTCAGCCAGTCAAGTCAATCTCCCCTATGCATTTCCTAACCTCTATCGAGATATCATCTAATCTTAAAGCCTTTCCTATCTTCATCCTTTTCAAAGCTTCTTTCATTTCTGATATCTTAATCGTGTGAATGTATCTATGACCTCTGCTCTCATTTATGTCAACAGTTCCTTCTACCACTATGTTCCCATTGTATTCATTATTTACTAATTTTTTAAAATAAACTCTCCACCTTTCATTTGCCTCTTCATCCTTCACCAAGACCCTTTGATCCTCATTCTTAATGCATTTAATATGGTCTGGATCCCCATACTTTGTCTCTCTCATTTTTTGCTAATTTGAAGACATCATTTTCACCTTTTCTTTCTCCCAATTTACTATATAGATTATCATATACCTTAAGTTTAGCCTTACTATTTGTCTAGCATTTTTCTTAACATTTTTATATTCTTCTAAGTTTGATCGTTTCTAGCCAAGTTTTATAACATGACCATTTTTTGCTAATGGCCTTCTGAACCTCATCACTCCACTACCAAGTTTCCTTATTGGAATTTCCTTTCCCTCTATATTCTCCTAAAACTTCGTTTTCCACTTTCTTAATACAGTCAACTATCTCATTCCACATAACATTGACCTCATGTCCAGAGTTCCATTTTCGTTCTTTAACTAATTTATCCATAAAGAAGTCTATTTTCTCATTTCTAAAATTCTACCACCTAGTTCTTGGTCACCTATTAATTTCACCCCATCTCTTGCATGTTATGCAAACATCCATAACCACGAGCCTATGTTTGGTAATCAAACTCTCTCCCGAGATAACCTTGCAATCTTCACATGAAGTCTTCACATGATGGTCGATCTACCTTCTTAAATAAAAAGAAGTCCATATGGCTTTTATGTGATCTATTTTTATAGGTTATTAAATGTTCATCTCTCTTTTTTAAGTAAAAAGTGTTTGCTGCTACTAGGTCATAGGCCATAGAAAAATCTAGAACAGCCTCACCCATCTCATTTCTTTCACTAAGCCCTTACCATAAAAAAAGGAAATATTGTATCTTACCCCGGAGTAGAATGTACACTTGCTCCCACCGGCAAACCTACAAGGTATTGGCTGGACCCAAATGCCAAAAAAGGCTTGGTTAACAAACTGGAATTCATTTCTATTGATGCCCCACTTTTTCGCAGGATGTGGAATTTCTTTTTTTTTTTAATTATTGGGAAGACTATTTTCCTGTAAGCATTTTGTCACTCCATGCACTTGGATGCTCCCCACAAGGGGTACTTTAGTTGTTTGAACATGAGTATTTGCAATTTTGCATAAAGGGATCTAAACCCCTACTCTGAATCAAGGAAGTTCATTTTTTCTCAAATTTGAGAGCCAATACCCACAAAAGAGCCCCTCCTTGATGCCCTCTATAATACCAACATGATGTAGTATTGATGATTATGTTATGCTCTTCCAATAGTCAGCCTCTAAAATATGATTGGCCTTTCCCTTGGGAAGACCAAAATTACCATCATTATGCCAAGCCACCAAGGGAGACATCTGGACTAGTTCCATTGAAACTAGCTCCAATCTTCCTCTTTAGATATGCTGCTTTTAAAGTTGAGCTATTGATTGGATCAAAATATACATCAAGCTAACCAGAGAAGGAAAACCATGCATCGCTCACAGACAACAGAAAGAAAACACTTCAAATAAATAACAGCAAGCATGCCCACTGAAATAAGCAAGCTATTGGAGCATCAAACAATAGGAGATGTTACTACTCCAAGAAAAAAATGTTCAAAATAATCAAACAAGGTACTAAGTATTTTCAATTTTTATCTTACAATTGGGTGTGCTAGCAGCTCTCCGAAGTTGTAAATGTTATCACCCAATAAAGCAGCCAGAGATAAATCAAATGCCAACTCCTGAAAGACAAAAACTCAACAAAATGATTAGCCAGCTAAAAACCATATTAAAACAAATACTTAAGACAGAAAATCAATGGACAATATGTAAAATATCATGATCTACGCTATCATTGTGCCAAGCAGCTCAAAACATAAAATAGACATAAAGACAGTACCAAAGAACTTGTTCCACCCTCCAATTTGATACAAAAATATGAGTTCTAAGTTATTTGGCAATTGAATCTTTTCAGTATTTCTAACTACTTTTTTCCTCTACTTTTTTTTGAAGAAAAATTTGTCCTATGTACTTATAATTTTCAATTCTCAACAATTCACAAATTTCTGCAAATTGTTTTCCTTGTTTACAGTTTTTTCAATATCTATTGGACTTTTTACAGTACACTATTCTATGGGTAAAGTTAGAATGCCCTACTTCATAAACTCTAACCATAAAATGCCCATGTATTGGTCTTATTTTTAAGGGAAAGATTCACAAGTTAATCTTAGTGATATTTTTAACCTCCAAATGATAGGAAAAAATCGAGGGAGAACCCAATTAAAAAGTTAAGCTCACTTGCATAGAACATAAAATTATCTTTTGTATTACCCCTGAAGAGTATCATCATCGTCATCAAAGCTTTATCCCAACTATTTGGAGTCGGCTACACGAATCCTATTCCATCATTCTACTCTATCAAAGACCATAGCCTCGGTCAAACCATACGTCACCATATCTCTTCTCACTACTCCCATCCATATCCTTTTGGGCCTTCCCCTTGCCCTTTTAAAACCTCCCACTTGAACCAAATCACCCCTCGTAACCAATGTTGTTCTAAGTCTACATAGCGCATGGTCAGTCCCCTGAATCTACTTTCCGTCATCTTATTGCTTATTTGAGCCACCCCTAAGTTCCCTCAGATGTATTCATTCTCAATTCTATCATTTTGTCTTGCCACTCATCCATCTCAACATCCTCATCGTAGTAAACCCACTCATCCATTTCAACATCCCATCGCAGTAAACCAATCCTATGGGCATGTTGTTTGTTGGTCGCTTAACATTCCGTTCCATAAAACATGGCCAATCTTATAACCGTCTTATAGAATTTCCCTTCAGTTTCAATGGTATTGCAGCGATCGCATAAAACTCCGGATCACATCTCCACTTCGCCCCAACTCTAATTCAATGCGTGACATCTTCCTCAATCCTTCCATTCCCTTAGATTATCGACCCAAGATATACAAGATAATCTCTTTTGGGTATTCTTGCCATCAATCTTAACTACTTCCTTGTTTCTACTGTTAATATTATGAGCCTTGCATCCTATATATTCTGTCTTAGTCCAACTAAATTTTAAAACATTTAGATTCTAGAGCATCCCTCCAAAGTTATAACTTTGCATTGAGACCCTCTAGTCTCATCAATCAAAACCATGTCATCCGCGAATTACATACACCACGGTACCCCATCCTATAGATGCATAGTTAACTTATTCATAAGATGAACAAGGAGATATGGGATCAATGTTGACCCCTGATATAGGTCTAGTATCACTAAAAAAACTCACTACTCTCCACATTGTCCTCATACTAGTTGGAGCTCCCTCGTACATATCTCTCACAGTACCAATATATGCTCTAGAGACTCATTTCTTTTCCAACACCCACCAAATTAACTCTCTAGATACCATATCATATGTTTTCTCTAAATCATAGTATGGCTCATAAGTTTAATTCCTCGATAGTTCGTACAATTATGTATGTCTCGTTTGTTCTTCTAGATAGGTATCATAGTACTTTTTCATCATTCGTCTGCCATTTTCTTTGTTCTCAATATCTTGTTGAACAGCTAGGTAAACCACAATATGTTAATCTCTCCCATGCACTTCCAAACCTCTATCAGGATACCATATGATCCTAAAGCTTTTCCTAACTTCATCTTTCTCAAAGCTATGACCTCCAAACTCATCTATGTCAAAGGTTCATCCTAATGTTGTGCTCCTACAATGTTCATCATTTAAATATTTTTGAAAATAAATTCTCCACCTTTTTTGTTGACCTCGTCATCCTTCACCAAGAACCTTTGATCATTACTTTTCATACATTGAATATGATCGAGATCCATACACTTCCTCTCTCTCATTTTTGCTAGTTTGAACACATCGCTTTTACTCTCTTGCCACTAGTTTACTATATAGATTATCATATGCCTTAAGTTGAGCCTTACTATATTCTCAGCCTTTTTCTTAGCATTTTTATATTTTTTTAAGTTTTGATCATTTTTGTCATATTGCCAAGCTTTATAACATGATTATTTTTCACTAATAACCTTTTGAACGTCATCACTCTACTACCAAGTTTCCTTATCCCAATTTCTTTTCCTTCTAGATTCCCCTAAAACTTCTTTTGCTAGTCACATGACATTAACTTCATGCTCAAAATTCCATTTCCTTCTTTTACCAATTGATTCCTAAATAAGTCTATTTTCCCCCTTCTTAAATTCCATCACATAATTCTTGGACACCTATTAGTTTCACTCATGTTCCTCTCTCTATGCAGACATCCATAACCACAAGCATATGTCACGTGGTCAAACTCTCGCCTAAATAACCTTAAAACACTTTACATGGTCGACCTGCCTTCTTAACTAGAACGAAGTCTATCTAGGTTCTATATGATCCACTTTTATAAGTTATAAAATGTTCATCTCGCTTTTTAGTGTAGATGTTTCCTTTTCTAAGTCGTAAGCCATAGCACAATCCAAAATAGCATCACTGATTTCATTTCTTTCCCCAAAACCATATCCTCCATGTACCCTTCCACCTCCTCTCTCCATTTGGCATCCCTTGGATTAGCCCATCCATGTCTTCCCATAATTGTCACCACTATTTCAAAAAGCGAACGGCCCATCACCTAGGCGACCGTCAAGGCGGATATCCCTGGGTGCTCGCCTGAACCCGCCCAGGGCCTGCGCCCCACCCAAGAAGGGAAATGCAGCTCCTTGAGAGTATTTTTAAGTCATTTTTTTAATACTAAAGGGAAAAATTATGGATTTTAGTTCATTTGAAATCTAAAACCCATTAAAGGCTATTTTAGAGAGAGAAAACCCAAAACAAAAATTTCTGCTAGGCCGCCCAGGTTCTGGGCGCCCACCTAGCAAAGGGCGGCCTGGACCCCCCAACCACCTAAGTGCCGCCTAGCGCTTTTTGAAACACTGATTGCCTCTTAATTCCATCCTCTAGTCCTACATATAGCACATAAGCACTAATAACATTAATTATCTCCTACCCTAACACAAATTTAATTAGCTAAAACCTATCGCCTACTCTCTTGACATCAACTACTTTATCTTTCAAGTCTTTGTCTACTATTAACATATGCCTCGCTAGAAGCAGACAAAGAAAGAAATTGCAACACAAATAACAGATTGAGTCGTTTCTTGGGGAGACAGATGAACTGGGAAAAATACCCTTGAATAAATAAAAATGATTACAATTCCAAAGATTAAATGGGAGAACGATGTAAACAAAAATTAAACATCTAGAAACCATGGTGGAAACTTTCATTACACAGATGAAATTCCTTTAGAATCTCTTAAAGAACCAGCATAAAAAAGTCCTTCAGAAAATATAAGAGCTAGATGCGAAAATTGAAACAACTACTACTCGAGATTTTCAAAACAAGTTAGAAGTAATTGATTCGAGGATCGGACATACAGATGGTAGCACTTTCGATGTCGGTGTTGTGATGTCCAAAACCCTAAAGACGAGGAGGAAAAGCGAGAAAAAACCCTCAATCTTCGATTGGTTGGGGGTTCTAAACAAGAAGATGAAGAGAAATTCCGAAATTGCTGGAAGCAAAATGCATGTTCTGAAGCAGCCTATTCTAGAGGCATACAGGACAGGCCGCAAAGGAGAGCGACCTCGTCATATCATTATTAACTTCAGACTTCAGAGATACATGTGCAAAAGAAAAGATTTGGGACAATCGATGCAATCTCAAAGGGGAAAAACTTAAGATTAATGAAGACCTTTCATGTAAGGAACTTGCGAAAAAACTGAAGAATGGAAAAAAGTTAAACTTAAACAAGCAAGAGAAGAAGGTAGGTTTGCATACTAGAATGTCAAATACAGTGCATTTATCAAAGATAAAAATAAATAGGGTTTTTGGTCCTTGCACTGTGAATTTTTTAATAGTGTGGGCTTTGTAATAGATAAAGTTCTTAGTTTGTATAATATTTCTTTTTTCAGTAAATTTGACATTTTTGGCATTGTTGAGACATGGCACGATGAGGAATCCCCCATTTAATAGTTCCGGGATTTAATAGTTCCTGCTTTTCGTGCTACTTCTTTTCCTAACAAAAGGAAACAAAAGCGAGGGAGATCTTTCGAAGGTTTGGCTATTCTTCTTCGCAACCATTTATGCAAGCAAGTTCAAATTGGAAAGGTGGATGAAAACACTTCGTATGTTTGCTTAAAATTAAGCAGCACACATCAGTGATGCATTTAGCTTTTTGTTCTTTTGCTCCAAGAGAAGCTACCTTGTACAATAGAGAAGGTATTTCACGAGACTGTCCATTTCAATATTTAGGTAGAGATGCAACTACTTTTGCTCAAACTGGGAAAATCTTCATTTGTGGAGATCTTAATGCCAGAATTGGGCCAGAGCAAATTCAAACTATTCAATAGGACGCTCAGGGGCACCTGGATTGAGAAAACAAAGTTGAATGGAATAGATTTTAACAAGACAAAGCCTTTAATTACAGGGGAAAATAACTGCCACAATGGGGACAAGCACTAGACCTCATAGTGTTGAATGGGATGGAGTGATTTCCATGGTCAAATACTTTTAATTTTGCAGGCCCCCAAGGATGTTCTAGCATTGACTTTCTGCTCACAAATACTGTGAGTCTATCAACCATTAAAAAATTCGAAGTAGGTAACAAATTGGTTGAATTTTTCCAATTTCCTTTATATTTTATTATGTCAGTAAATTTACATTCTTTTTAGTATCAGAAAA